TGTAAAATATCAGATTGCATATTCCAAACACAACTCTAACTCTGTCCCTGTATCCATTCCCAGTCTTATTCTGCAAACCAGAAAACCCCTACAGTCAATAACTCTACATCAAATAAATTCTGAGTATGAGTTACAACCATCACACAATATGGTTATATTGGAATATTTTTACTATTTAACAACAGACAAAGTGGATATTTTATTTTGGAATCAAAGTGCTGTTATGTAGATTTATGGTTTATAAGGTTGGCAGTGTTTCTGAGTATTTTCTTCTCCAAAGTACATAAATATAAAGTGGTAAAAGTTTTGTTTTTAGCTTATAAATGTAGTTAATCATCTGTTCAAACAATAAAAAATTCTATTTATTAATGGCCAAGCAATGGTTAGGGGGGTTTGCTTTTTCTTTTTACAAGACACTCATTTAAGTCAACTGGATGAAATGAATAGACAATGAATATCACAATGGCTTAGGGGGGATCATGGCACACCACTTGATCATGTGGAACTTCAGGCATTAATCCACTAAAGTCATTACTGCCTCTGAGTCTTATTTAAAGGTCACAGTCTTTTTAGAGGAGTTAGCTGGTGAGGAGAGGAACTCTTGGTGTTTGATGCCTCCCGTGTGTGAACAGGTGTGTGCTCCCTGCTCCCCACTTGGAATCTGCAGCACTGAACAGTGGGTGGGCAGTAATGTGCAAGAGCTCTTGTAGGCTACGGGAGGATTTGTATTGATCGTTCTTTTCTTACATCCTGGTTTTTATCATGGTTACAGTATATGCAAACACGTCAGGCAATTAGGCATGTGAAGACCTGGATCTGCGTGATTATTTGACTTCCTGCAACCAATAATGAGATTTTCGAAAGATTTAGTGCTATGCCATTGAATATAAAAGAGGATCGGAGGCCTGTATGTGGAGTGGGGTTAGGTGTGGTAGATGAAATTTGTCCTGGCATCCTTATTGAAGCCTTCCTGTAGGCGCTATCAGCTGCAGTTGGCACTGCTGCCAGAAATAACATTGCAGTGTCAGAAACATGGGTGTTTTAAAGGGTATAGCCGGGGGACTTGAAGTGTTCATTTATTTATTTAACTTCAAATGAATAAAGACCCACAAGATTCTTTTTCTTTCCCAGATTGTTGTCATTTTAATTCATTTTAATATCCTTCATAAATACTGCTGGCATCCAAATTACATATAACTACTTAGGAAAAAGCTTAAGTGTCATTGTGGCACATTGAAAATATCCCCTCACATGCACAGTAACAGCCTAAAATGAAATAAATTCCCTGCACGATTGAGAGGAGAGGAAAGAATCCTTAAGATACAGCCTAACCATCATGTCAGTCAACGTTATGCCCCCACTTTGAACAATGCGTTCTCTTTCAGTTGCTAGAATTTCTTTTTCTATTCTCTTTTTTTAATGATAATAAGGACTAGAAACGATCAACAAAAGTTCTAAATTACACACAGGCTATTCCCATTGGATACTGCAGTAATGATTCCTAGCATAAGGGTGAGTTATGATTCTCAGAAAGTTACACGATTCTGAAATTCCTGGAAGAGTCCAGTTCTTCACGTAATTTACTACCTCTTTCCAGTAAGACTGCGACAGTGAGAATAAGGCCAGTTGAGATCGGCACACACTTGACCCCTGTGGCACTAACTTCTCCTGCACTCAGAGGCTGGCTCATAGGCCCAGGCGCTGGACCCTGTTCAAAGAATAGGTGACTCTGAGATCAGACTGAGACAGCACTACTGGGAAGGAGCAACAGGATAAATTAAAAATCAGTAACCTTAATGATAAGTACTTCAAAGGACTGCCCTGTTGAACGCTTCAGTACCTGCTGCATGATGTCATTTAGCCATCAACTGTAACTGCATAAAGACTATCTTTTCTATTACATTTGTTGTTGTTAATCAGATAATGAATATTCACTTAAAGATACACTCCTGCTTATTTCTAAAAAACAGACTCACAGGGGCTAATCCTTACTTTTCATTGTTCCTGCCATTGTACTGATTGAGTCTCAAAAAGACAGAAACCAGTAGGTTTCCCAAATAGTTATAATAATAGTATTCATAATCAGACTAGTAGAAATGAAGTAATTGTAAAACTTGCAAAGACATTTTAATTTGTGCAGGTTACTTTTTGTGTTTCTCTTTTTGAACAAACTACAAATCACCACTGAATGTCAGTGTGCTTTACAGACCACTTCTGTGTGCAGGTTTCTGTACACATTGCCTGTGTTACAAATAGTACTCATAATTTTTTTTATGTCTTTCCTTCAGAACATGGAAATTAGCACAACAGTGTTAGGTTTAGCTTTAAAAAAAGCTTTTTTCAGTCTAAAGGAATCTTATGGTGTCACTTTCAATCTCTCCTATGAAAGTTAAATTTCTTTCTCTTGCTTCCTTTTATGTTGAAAAACTTAAATAATTTATTGGTGCAAAGGAATGTGCGCTGAATTCAGTAACCAAAAGAGGATGTGGAAAGATTTATTGGGAGAAACATTAAGAGCATTCCTGGCCAGGTGTATTTTATTTCTTTTTCTGGGAAATGGGGGCTTGGAATAAACGCCTCCAGCCAACGTTAGATATGGCTGGAAGCCCATTTGGAAAGTAGTGTCTGTAACTGGGAAGTGCTTCTTGAGAGAAACTGGACCAAAAGAGATCAAGGGCACAAAGAGATTGGCATTGCTGAACAGCAAATGTGCGCTAGAGCTTGAAAGCGACTGCAGCGTTTGCCGCCCAAGTGGGTGTTTGCATGTGACTTACGCTCTCCTTATACATTACACAGCAGCGTATACCCATGGGAAACGAGGAGTGAAACTTCTGCCAAATTGGAGCAGTGGATTCTTGAGTTCCTCTTTGCACCTCGGTCTGTGACAAAAGGTTGTGAGGGAGCAGGACCCGAGTACATACACTTATGCACTCCTTGCTTAGCAGAAGGAAGTGTCACTTTGTGAGCAGCAAGACACAGCTGTGGTGAACGTCTTTAGGACAATTTTTTCAAACACTGATAAGTATTTTTACTGCATAATAGAATATATATTACATGAATTTGTAATCTTTGGGGGGGTTACATTGACACCTTACTTATTTGATGATTTTTATGACAAAATTCTATTGAAATACAAATATAATTTATCCACGACTTATAAAGGAATGTGGTATAAACTATAAATTTCTAATTCTATCCTCTTACCTCTCTGGCACATTTCCTGTGATTTACATACAGCACAAAGTTAATAAGAGCATTATAGAATCACAGAACAGTTTGGGTTGGAGGGGACCTTTAAAGGTCCATTAGTCCAGTCCCCTGCAATGAGCAGGGACATCTTCAACTAGATCAGGTTGCTCAGACCCCTGTCAACTTGACCTTGAATGTTTCCAGGGATGGCGCATCCACCACCTCTTTGCGCAACCTGTTCCAGTGTCTCACCACCCTAATTGGAAAACATTTCTTCTTCATATCTAATCTGAATTTCCCCTCTTTTCGTTTAAAACCGTTACCCCTCATCCTATCACAGCAGGCCTTGCTAGAAAGTCTCTCACCGTCTTATAGGCCCCCTTTAAGCACTGAAGGGCTACAGTAAGGTCTCTCTAGAGTCTTCTGTTTTCCAGGCTGAACAAGCCCAACTCTCTCAGCCTTTCCTCATGGGAGAGGTGATCCAGCCCTCTGATCATTTTCTCTGGCTATACTTCAACAGAGAGTGTTCCTGCGACACTTTTCCCTTTCAGTTTTTCCTTCAACCCCAATTTCTTAGTCTCCAGCTCCCCTCTATGTTAGCTGAATAGGCAGGCCTCCTCATGAGTAGCCTTACTCCTTAAAAAAGCAGTTTTAAAAGTTTTGGTTTTGTATAAGTTGTTGAAACCATTTCCTCTTTCTCCATTACTCCAAGTTTCTTAAATATCCTATACAAATTCTTCCTTGATGCAGCATCTTAGAAAAATATAGACTCAAACTGCTCCATCCTTCTGCCCCAGGCAGGAAGCTGTACTTGCACCCCATTTTACATGTAGATGGGTCTCCTGACTTCTTATTGCCTGGTTTAAGTTCTGTTAAGTCTATTGCTTCCAGTTTTACTCATTGTGGAGACCAGCGCTTGCTTTCTCTTTGTAGCTGCCCTTCTGTATTTGAAAATCTAGATTCTCTCCACAATTCTGTAGACCTCTCTTTTCCTCTGTTGCTTCACAGCAATTGTTCTCTCCTATTTCCTTCTCCGGGGATGTGTCCTTGCGTGGCTACACCTATTGCTATTTTCCCAGTGTGAAAATGAAAACATTACTGGTTGCAAGAGGCCAGTCTTTTATAGTCGGTGCAATTAGGAAAACTTGGCAATTTGACAAAGGGCTCTTTCAAATGCGAGTTGAAGTGCTCAGTTAGCAGCACAGAATCAGTCTCATTTTATTACTTCTTCCTGTGTTGTTCTCTATACTTGCCTGTCAAAACCAGACTACTCTTTGAAGTTACTTGATACACAGATCAGCCTACACTGCTGAAGTCCCAGTGCTTAAATGTCTGTGTGAGTTTAAGTAGTTTGTAGACTTCAGAGAGGATTCAGTAGGTGCTTGAAGTTACAGGCCTTTAGCTATGTTACCCAATTAAATCCATTTTGTTCCAATGTTTTCAAACCGAAAAATTTTTTACTACTTTTTAGATCTTAAAAATCAGTTAGGAAGGAAGTGACAGAATCAAACTTCTGTTTTGGAGGTCTCTGGATAGATGGCATTAGTTCTAGCAGTTAAAATACATTCCTTAAAACATAATTTTGCTTGTTAAATCATCATGGAGACTGGAAAATGGATATTACTATGGAATTGTGTTTCCTTAAAATGTAAGTTTTAGAAGTTCTTCTTCTAATAAGTACAAATTTTGGTTGGGTTTTTTTTTTTTTTCAACAATGGTAATTTTGCATACTTGAAAACTAATTTTAAATATTTACCTTTTCCATTTTTGTAATCATATTGTTTTCCCTGCTCCCTTTTTTCTTTCCCTAGGACCGTTTACTGCTTCAGGAGACAGTAAATTCTGCTGCTGCTCTTATCCTGGCATTAATAATGGACAGAAACCCAGAGCTGATTGGCCAGCTGTTGGTAGCATAAGACCGTAAATCTTGTGTAGCTTTTGGAAATGTTTCTTTTTCCTCATCCATTCACCAAAGGTCTTGAATCATTTTACCCTTTGATGAAAACTCTGGATTTATGACATTTGCTATTAAGATCTTTTTACAATGTATTTTTGATACTTAAAATGCAAGTCTGATATGTATAAAGTGTAAAATGGCATACAAATTTCTGAGATACACTAGGTACATACTGTGAGGAATGGTTAGAGTTCAAGGCTAGGCTGAATGAAGTCTTGGGTGACATGGTCTAGTGTGAGGTGTCCCTGCCCATGGCAGAGGGGTTGCAACTAGATGATCTTAAGATCTTTTCCAACCCTAACCATTTTGTCATTCTATAAGATCATTTAAAAAGGTGTACTGGTGACACCAAAGCATTCATGCAGAATTGTCTTTAACCCATGTATGTATGTTTTACTCTAGGACTGCATGAATTAAATTTGATTTAAGATAAAATAATCCCAAAGCACAGCTCATCTTCTTTATGTTAAATTATTTTAAATTTGCTTCTGTATCTATTAGTGACTGTATATAGTCACATAGTTCATTATGTAGTGTAGCCTTCCTGACATCCACAGAAATGATATTACAAGAAGTATTTGAAGGGTCACGTCCCTGTCCATGTAATGAAGGTAACCGCCAAACAAAGAAAAGATATGCATGGGAACAGCAAGGTGCTAATCCCTAGTTTTGCAGATGCAGTATTCTCTGACTGTGGAGCTCCTTACTGCTACACTTCTCCCAGTAGCCCTGTGCCATCATTTGGAACTAGCTCCAGTGAGTACCGTATTACATATACCCTTTGTGTTTGCACGTGTATGTATGTGTATGCATGTATGTGTGTGTGCATGCTTAAAGGAAAAGGGTTAAGACTTAAAAAACCGTTTCAGAACCACCTCTGTAGGTAATGGAGAAATAGGAAGGTTCTGTTAGCTTATCCATAAGAATACAATTTTCCTCTCCCGCTGGTTAGCATGTGTGTGTATTAAGTACTGGTGAAAAGAACTAAGTGTAATGAGTTCAGATATGTGCTACTTTGATATACAAGTGTAGAAAGTTGGGATAGGAAGGTGAAATGGTGAATGGTCATTCCATGGAGTATCTCCAGGTATCGCAACCACTAACAGCAATACAAGAAGTGGACAGTCCCTGAAAACACCTGGCACTCCCTATTCATCAGACTAAGGGATTCCAGCTTTCCTCCAACGTGTGAAGAGGCTAGGTTACTGTCTTGTACCTGCCATAACTGGAATAAGGTCCTAAAGAATATCCCCACCAGAAGCATCCAGTGAGTCCCCTATTCAGGATGTCCTGAGCAAGAGCACTGTCAGTTCAGCAATTCTCCCGGTGAAACCAGCATTCTTCCCCTTACTCCCACTGTCTTCCACACCCTCTGGTGCTCAGACAAAACTTAGAATAGCATGATCCGTGTTCGGTCTCCTGCCCCTGAGTATATCTCGAGTTTAAATCCCTTTTAGAAGCTGATGTTGATCCCAAACTTCCTTTACTGCACAATAAAAAGTTGTTAGCTGACTGTTCTGTAACCAAAGCCCCCATTTTCTTCCACACACAAGTCATCCTAAGACAACCAACAAAGTTCTCGTGTGTCATCTGCTTTCTTCTTTGCTTTTCTTTTCTCTCTACTTTGATTAATAATCTGTCCTTTCCTGACATTGTACAACATAAGCATTCATATTAGCTCAGTGTATACAACAGGCTATACAATAGGCATATTTTATTCATATATATATTCATATATGCATAATATGTAAATAAACGAAGAATAAAGAATTTATTATTGATATTCATAATTTAGCAGGATAGCTTTCACAAATAATTTCCTTAATTCTCTTTTATGTTAATAAATTTGATGAAGGAATTTGTCTCACAGGCTTTTAAAAGACACAGTGAGAGATATCTCTTCGTAGTTTGTGATTCCTCTTCACTTGAAGATTAGAATACATACAGTCTGTGATGTTTTCCACTCTAATTTATACATTGTGGTACTTCCTTAGCATTGGTGTGTAAATTATCATATGCTTAAACAGAACCTTTTACTTTGTGGGGTTTTTTCACTTACCTCATATTCTTTTAAAAGGATTTCAATCCAATTTGAAAAGTTACTGTAATGAACTGCTGTAATGAGAAATTGCATTATGGTTTTTTATGGACTTATTTTAAGAAGAGAACAGATAATGCACAACAGAAAGTTTCAGGTTATCAAACATCCTTAGTACTAATCTGAAATGGGAGATAATGAGCTTTATTAATGTAGTGTTAATCCTTGTGTTACTTTTTTTTAAATCTTTAACTATCTTTTTAAATAATGTACAAACATTGAGAAACCCACTTTGCTGGAAGCAAATACACCAACGGAGCCACTAAACTAGATCACAAAATACTAGAACTGCATTAGGAAAAAAAAGAAACTGGACTGCGATTAATGCTATTGTGTATCCAAACCAAATTTAAATGGTCTTTGGGATGATTGTTAATACTTACAATGGGAATAAAGATATAAAATGAAATTAAGAAACGAGTTGATTGCTTTTTGTCTGTGCATAGTTTCTCACAAATAGCAATATACATGAGAAGCTTGGCAGTCTTTTGTATACACATGCTGTTTTGAATTTAACTAGTGAATCAGTCACCACCCATATTGCTTTGAACATTTGAACAGAGATAACATGGAGTAAATAAAAGCTCAGACTCTGCCAGCCTTGCTTACCTTACTCCTCAAGCACTCTTAATTAGTATTCCTTAGGTAGTGTTCATCAGAAAAGAGAATACAAAATATGGCCCTAGAAGTCCTTTTCATAACTGCGAATTTAAGTGAATTAGATTTGTATAATCTACAACCCACTTCTCAAAACTAAAGTCCTTCATTTGTCTTAGATCAGTAGACAGAAGAACTTCTAGTTATCATCTTTTTTCATTCAGCTTTCCAGGCTACCTAAATTAAACAAGATGGCTTGATGGCCCTCTAAAAAGGATGAATGAAAAGGATAGAAGATGGTGAAATTAAAACCAAAACTGTCCCACCCCAAAAACAAACTGAAGAGCAAAGAGAAACGAAGTGAGTTGTTACACTATTGAAATCTGTCCCGTAACTCCAGTTGACTTTAAAATATCACAATGAAGCTTTTAGCTCGTCTTAATAACTAATGCAGGCTGCAAAACAGAAAGTGCCTCTGGATGTCTTGAAGCTTTTGGTGCATTCAGATGTGTATTTCTAGGTGATGCCAAAGCTTCATCCGCCCCACAGTGGTGTTTTAGGTGCCGTCTAACCAGAAGCCTCCAAAGACTCGTAAGATTCCCCATTACTGCTTAGCACTTTCTGAGCTACTTTTCCTGTCTTGGAGGTCTCTTCACCAGAAAAGGGTCATAGTTAGTTTGCTCTGTTCTCCCTGTCTTGGACACTTACTACTGGTCACTGCTTTTTGTTCATGATTTACTTTTGCAGAAAAGCACATTTACTTCTGGATATGCAAAAGCCTTTTTACCTCATGTCTCCCTCTTCTTCATCCACAATTTTAATCTGACAAATGCTAGTTCATTTTACAAGCATCCACCAACATGTGCAGACAGTGCATGCTCCCTTTTGTTCCTGTTAAGATATTCCTGGATGAGCCAGAGTTCTGGGCAAGAGCTACCCAGGGCAACTGACCTGATGCTTCTGACATAAAAATGGCTGGTAGTTGTAAAAACTGTGTTATTGGATGATTCAAGCCCTTCAGAGTATTACCAGTGCCTTAGCCTTGTGTTTTTTAAGACTTCTGATTATTCTTTCTGATCCATATGACAGATGCATTAGTCTTATTCCTGCCTGACTGGGGAAAAAATAAAGAAGTATTTAGTTATTAGATTGATTAATGCAGATGCAAAGATTAGTAGAGAGTTGATTTCTGTCTTTGTGTAGGTAGTGAAAGAATGGTATTCAGAGGAATTTCCTCTTGTTTGTTTCAAAGATCACTTATTAAAACCACAGATAATTCTCACTGAAACAGGGAGAGCTGCTGAGACTTGTAAAAAGAATAATATCTTTAAGGGTTCCCATTGGTAAAGTCTATTATGAAATATTAAGATATATATCTTTATCTTACAGAAATACATAATTGTGATATGGAAGGATGTTTAGCTATACATTATTTAAAGCCAATCTTGATGAGCTGCATTCTGAGAAACTAAGAAACTGTTTTCATTATCTCTGCCCCACTCAGTCAATCCAGTCTTTTGCACCTGGTTTAGGGTAAGTTGTAATGGCCCCCATCTTGAGGACAGATGCCCCACTCTGGGGGCCTACAATGAAATACCAAGGCAAAGTATCACAATGGTTTCAAATCTTTGTGCCCCCAGTGCCTGCACTTTCAACTTCAGACAAGTAAGTCTTAACAATGTCTGTCTCACACAGCCCATTCCTCAGCCTGGTTGTTTACCGTGATTCAGTTTGTCTTGTGCTTCTGGCAAGCACCGAGGGAAAGCAGCAGCCACAGACAGTGCATTTTTCCCAGTGTAAGTTGGTTTTGATTGACAGGGCTATAAAGCACTTGTGGAATATACATTTTCCTTGGTTATTTCTTCCAGGAATACTCAATTAGTTTTCAGATCTGAAAAACACAATTTCAGCACCTGTGCTAAGGAAACAGTCCCAACTGTGAAAATGTGTTTATGATATAAAACACTTGGCTTATATATACTAACCAAAGTGCTATTTCTTAATATATTTATTCCCAAGTTAATTAAGTATGCTTTTCAATCTTTAAATTGAAACAGACCTCATCCTTCATCCTGTACATAGTCCTCTCTCAGAAACTGAAATGATAACTCAGTTAAAATGACACAACACTGAATTATAACACAAAGATAAATGAGAGAGTAGAAGACTTGAACAAGGAAAAAGTGAGGTGAATTTAAATAAGATGGAGAATCAAGGAGGCAAGAGAAAATACACTAGAGCTTCTCCAGATGGCAAAATCTGCAGGGGAGGCTTCTTGGATGGCATCCATGCTATGGCTGTGGGCAAGAAAGCCTCCCAAGGCATAGTAGCACCTGAGAAGGCAACTCAATGAGGCATTTCTTTATTCAGAAGACATTTTAGATAATTGCCTCCCTTGGATAGTTATTTGTTTCTGCATTATTTTTACTTCTGCATCTCTTTCATTATTTTGCCTCTTTCCTTTTGTTTCCTTGCCTCAACTGGC